TGAACCGCCAGCCTTCTGGTTAGCAGTCAAGTGCCTTATCCACTATGCTACCAGAGCTCCCAATTTGGACACAAACCATATCAATTCAAATTTTATTAATTTATATCTGACGTAGGTAGTGGAGATCATCTTTTTGTTTCTTTCCCAACTAGAAATCCTTTAGCTTTAAATTATGCCCAGTGGAATTTGGTACATATTTAAAGAGGTTACCAATTGCAAATCCCATTACAATTTTTCCCTGAAGAGAGGGATGAAACTGCAATAATTACTAACAATAATCAGATTTTAGCAAGATAAAATATAAAGACCTTCCTCTAGTGGGAAGGAAGATAGGTAACAAGGATTAGAAGAATTTAGTAATGTTTGCTTTTCAATGTGAATAAAATTAACCCCACTCATCTTTCCATATATATTTATTTATTTACATTCTTTATTTATTCTATCCACAAATATTTACCGAGCACCTACATTGTGCCAAGTACTGTATGAGGGACTGAAGATTCATCAGTAAATGCAATAGTGCTTAAAGAGCTTACACATTCTACTGGGTAGGATGGACAAAAACATAAACTAATTTCAGACAGTGATGAACACTACAAAGACAGTAAAGTGGGATAGAAGGACAAAGAATTATGGATTATGGTTAGGGGAATATTCAGATATAAAACTGAGAAAATATAAGACTTTGACATTCTCTTATCTGATAACTAGAACTGATGAAAATATTCCTGATTGACAATGAACTCCTATTTTGCCCTTAACCTGACTGCCACAGTCCTTCCAATCACTTCTTGAAGATTATTCCTTTCTTTTTCTACCTTAGCTTGTCTTCTACATGTGCAAACAGTGTCTTGACATACTTTTTCATTAAGTACATTTCTAAGATTATAATTTTAGTGATGTATATAAAAAATTTAAGAATTTTGAACTCAATATTTACAAAATAAAAAAGTTGAACAGTCAGATAATCCTAAATGATAAATGACATTTATTTAAAGAAAAACATAGAAAATGGAATATTACTCTGACAAGCATATCACAGTAAAGAATAAAAATAAAATTAATTTCCTTAAAATTATTTGTGGACCTAAAGAAAACCTAGTAAATAATAAATGTTGGTTTTGGTGTATGTGTGTATGTGTATGTGTATATGTTTACTGTAGTATGACAGGATTACAGGGAGTAGTGCAATACTATGAACCCAAGGAAACAGCTTAAAATAAAGAGTAGGATCAGTACATTTCCATGAAGAATTACACAGAGGATGAATTTACACATCATGTATTTCCTAAGATCCAGAGCTTCACAAGTTACATTACTATGAATGAGAAACTAGCCAACTCTATCTTGTTTTAAAATATTGTGTATAGTAGTGATATTTTCAAAAGCTATGTTATGATAGAAATTTTTATGGAAAAAGTAATATTAAACGTTTTAAAAAGTATCAAATATCTGTACTAACACAATAACTTAAACTTTTATTGTCCAAATAACATTAAAATATATATATATATTTTGGGGGGTGTATAGCATTAAAACATATACACACACACACACACACACACACATACATACATACCTCTGTTGGGGGGGGCATGTATAGCATAATGGCACCAACCATCAAAGGCAAAGACACAGAAATTTAAGATTTTTACTAACTTTTGCAGTCTGAAATTGACCAAACATGGAATCAAGATGTGTTCGTTATTACTAGTAATTGGAATGCAAAAGTTGGAAACAAAGAAAGATCACCAGTAGTTGGAAAATATGGCCTTGCTGATAGAAATGACATCAGATATTGCAACACAGAATTTTGTAAGACCAACAACTTATTCATTGCAAAACCTTTTTTCAACAACATGAATGGCAACTATACACCTGGCCTTTGCCAGATGGAATACACAGGAGTCAGATCGAGTACTTCTGTGAAAAGAGGCGATGGAGAAGCTTAATATCTTTAGCAAAAACAAGTCCAGGAGCTGACTGTGGAACAGACCACCAACTGCTCATACACAAGTTCAAGTTGAAGCTGAAGACAATCAAAGCAAGTCCCTGAGAGCCAAAATACGACCTTGACTCCTTGACTTCCACCTGAATTTAGAGACCATCTGAAAAATAAATTTGATGCATTGAATACCAATGACTGAAAACCAGAGGAATTGTGGGATGACATCAAGAACATCACACATTAAGAAAGCAAAAAGTCACTAAAAACACAGGAAATGAAGAAAAGACCAAAATAGATGTCAGAAGAGACTCTGCAACCTGCTTTTGAATGGACAGCAGCTAAAGCAAATGGTAGAAATGACAAGATAAAAGAGCTGAACAGAAGATTTCAAAGAACAGCTTGAGAAGACAAAGTCAATTATTATAATGAAATGTGCAAAGAACTAGAGTTAGAAAACCAAAAGGGAAGAACACACTCGACATTTCTCAAGCTGAAAAACAAGAAAAATTCAAGCTTCAAGTTGCAATATTGAAAGATTCTATGGGCAAAATCAGAATAAATAATAATTCCAACAAATCTGTCCTGGAAAAAGTGCAGATGGAATGCTCCTTGGAAGCAAGAATAGCCAGACTTGGTCTCACCTACTTTGGTCACGTTGTGAGAAGGGACCATTCCTTGGAGAAGGATATCACGCTTGGTAAAATGGAGGGTCAGCGAAGAAGTGGAAGGCCCTCAACAAGATGGACTAACATAGTGGCTACAACAATGGGCTCAGGTATAGCAAGGATTGTGAGGCTGGCGCAGGACTGGGCAGAGTTTCATTCTGTTGTACATAGGGTCGCTATGAGTCGGAGCCAACTTGACAGCAACTAACAACAATAGCGGTTAAAATCAAAGTCTTGGATCCACAAACTTTATATCCTGGCTCTACCACTCACTGGCTGCATAAGCTTAGTAACTAACTCCATGTCTCAGTTACTTTCATTTCTAAAATTGGAATAATAATAATATTCACCTCTCAGGTTTGTTTTTAGGATTGAAAGAGTGTTTAGAAAATGTCTGACACTAACCACCCAATCAAAGTTACCTATTATTTTTATTTATTTTTAAATGACAGACGTATATAACAATACTATTAAGAGTTTAGAAAACATAAGAAAAGAATCACTTTTACTCTGGCATCTTAACATAACTTTTAATACTTAACACTTTTCCCTAGAAATAAGAATACTTACTTTTAGGAAAACCTGCAGATCTTGAGCCTGTGTGTGCTGTAAAATATCTTGTTGTAGATGTTTGAATATAGCTATACAGATATATACTTGATAATCAGGACCAAGGAAAACACATGTAGCAATGTAATGGCAGATATCTATCCAATCTAAATAATTCCAAAAGCACTGAGATATCCATTGTAGGCAAATCTAGGGGGAAAAAAAAAATAGAGTTCATTAGAAAGCTTATAAAACCATATTTAACTTTTAAAATCTAGTAACTATAACTCACACAAAATCAATGAAAAGCTTAGCATTTAATCAAAATAGAAAGACAGCGTGCATAAAAACCCAACCAAATTCACTGCCATCAAGTCAATTTGCCTCATAGTGACCTCTCCTTGGGTTCCCAAGGCAGTAACTCTAAAGCAGATTGCCCAACCTGCCTTCCAAGGAGTGGCTGGTGGGTTTGAACTACCAGCCTTTTGGTTAGCAGTCAAATAAATGGCTTAGGCACTACGCCAGAAGCCTAACCAGGATACTTCACCTATTTGCTTAACGCGTGCTAAAACTTTCAAGCCTTGGAACTCTGAACTTTGGGTAACTGACACTGTTCACACTGCTCATACACCTATTGCTAAGTGAATTCTTTATTCAAACGGTCCCCCTCTTACTCATGACACCAGTCTGCTCTCCACGGATAACAAATGCTAAGAGACTATTTTAATTCAGAAATGGGAGTTCTTCTATTCTACCTATAATCACAGATGTATAATTATGCAGATGACAGATTGCTAAATGTTACATTAATGCAAATGGACTCCTGATGAATCAGAAAATATAAATGAAACATAATTATATAACAAAAACTGGGAGCAAATGTAGAGAATAATTCAAAAAATGAGACTTTTTTAAAAAAGAGGCTTCTTTCTGACTTTTCATTTATCTTTTCTTGATAACATTTGCTCATATTATAAAAGCAATACATGCCAATTATGAAAAACAGAAAAGTTTAAGAAAAAAAAAAAAAGCAACACAGAGATCAAAATTGTTAAGATTCCTGGTACCTTATATCCCAATATTTTAATTTTCATTTGTATTTTACAATTTACCATTGAGGAAAAATTACCTTTATTGAACCTCTTTTCTCTTTTAGTTTTATAGTTTTTTTAGCAGGGATGCAGAGTGTAGTGGTGCTGGTGGAGACAGGTGGCTCACTTCAATTTGTCATAGGTATAGAAGATACATAGATACAATTTCTCCTTTTTGGGGTGGTCCTTTTAAAATAAATTCTTAAACATATGTAAAATATTTATACTCAATTCAATTTTTTGCCATGTTGATTCTGCTCTTAACTGCTTTAAACATGATATTACTGATTTTTTTTCTTTGCATACATCATTGGTCATGTCAACCATTAACTTTTTAATTTCTGCAATTATAGACATGTTTTTTCATCTCATCTTCTGGCCATGCTTAGTCTTTTATTATCAATAATTCCAACTATATATGGTCAAACTATATAGGATTTTATTCTGTTTATTCTAATTCTTTTCTCAGGATAAGATTTTTCTTCACATCTATAATAGTCCCCTTCTACTGTGCTCCAAATTCTTTTCACAGTGTCTATGAGTTTAACTCATTATTGAATAGGATATATTTATGAATACCCAATATTTCTCAATAGATAGGGTATTAAATTCCCCTCAGTTTCAATTTTACTTGACAGGAGAGTCCTCTTGCAAATCTTGACTTGAAAGTAGGTTGGCATGCAGAGTTCATTACCAAATTTCCATTGTCCACGAGAGATCCATGTAGTGAGGCTCTTCTGGACTAATCAAGAAATATCTCCAGCTCCTACCTGGCTAAACATTTTGAGACAGACAGTGGTTCTTCTACTACCAGAGCCATGACTTCTAGTTCATTGATGCCCTGCTGCCAGAGTTTTGTGTCTGTTCCTTGCTACAGCTGCTAACACCAATCAACCTATGGCTATACTGCATTAATGAAAAATAGAGTCTCTGGATAGATGAAGAAAGAGAAACAAGTGGAATGAGTAAAAAAAGTGCAGTGAATACAAATGACCCCCACAGCCAGAGAAAGCAGTATGCATTCAGTTGTCAGTTGTTCAGCATGACTGGCAAGGAGACAAAGATGAGAGAAGGGTCTTCTTTCTAGTTTACCTTACTGTTCTATAGGTTAAACTGTGTGAAATTACTAGTAGTTAACTTTTTCCGACCTTTAAAACTGGCAATATTATATAGTACAAATCAATATTTCTGAAGTCAAAATGTATGTGGGGAGAGAGTTACTTGTCAATCCAGTCTTATCTTATCCTGGTTAAAAGAAAGTTACCCCAGAATCTGGCAATTAATGTATTATTATACATAGGTTCTAATGCAGTTGTACTTTTTTTTTTTTCATTTATGTACATTCAAGCATTATTTTCTGTACACTATTTTTCTTCCATTAATGGTGGTATCTGTCTTGCCTACTATCATACAAGAGAAGTCAGGGTAGGAAAAATCAAACTACTTTGAAAATATAAAAAGTGCTATATAAATGTTATTATATAACAAAAGTACAGAAGTTATTATTCATTTAACAAAAATTTATCAAGCACCTAATATTTACCAGGCACTATTATAATTTCTAAGTGAAAAAAAAGACACCAAGTTCCTTGTACTCACAGTTCTCACAATCTAAAGGGGATACATATAGTTTTTAAAATACATGTGTGTGTGTGTATACTCTTCACTTGGCAGAAATGGTATATGTTATTATTATATGTGTGAGGTATTTGAAGAAGTATTAAATTGTAATGATATAAGTCTAGAAAGACTATCCAAAGAGAATGCTGAATTACGAATCAGTTTTTAATCCTTGATATATTTATATTTCATATATATATGTTTCATACATATATTTACATATATATTTGGTTGGTGGTATGTATAAAATAAGGTATATTCCCTGACCCTCCAACTCATACTTTATCTATTCCCTAAAAGCAATCACTTGAAAAACAGGGTACAGTGAAACCTAAGAGAGCTGGAATTAGATAGGACTGCCTTGTTTTTCTGGGTCTCACAAGTTTCCTGCCTTTGACAGGGTGCACTTCTGTATCACTCATTTGAGTGGAAAATATTTGAGTTTTCCTTCTCTGACATTTTACTGCCTTACACGGGTTCCGGCTTTCACATGGTTTACTGTTCATTCTTTTGTTTTTAATACAATGTGTATATATTGGTATCCTCATCTTTCCCAGATAAATGGTCACATATTAAACACTTTCTACACTTTAAAAAGCACTGTCACACAAAATATGCAATGATGAAAAGTTTTCCTTTAATCCTGCTTTTACAATTCGCAGTGTTGGGGGTACCAAACAAGGAGACCAAGCAGGTTTATCTGGAATATAGCTAGAGGGTTATCTGTCAGCCCACTTGCTGAGACAACACATGCAGTATAAGAATCAATGATACTGAGGATGAGGACTCCAAGGAATTACAAGAGATGAATCATCAAAAATACATGGTACTTCTTAAGGCAGGAAAGTGGTCAAAATAAACTATGGAAATTTTTTATTAACAAAGAATAAATTTGTTTTAAAGGTTAATGACAATATGTGATTTTTTTATGTTAATGAAAAAAATGTACATTAAAATTTCTATTTTCTTTCAATCTTTTTTTTTTTTAACTTATTTTTATATATGCAGTCTCAGTTTCTCTTAAAACAAACACTCATCAGATTCAAAATGGAGTCTCATCAGTAATCACCATGCTATTTCCCTCTAGCATCTTAGTGCTTGAAATACTAGGTACAGCAGATTGAGTTAGGGATTCTGGTGCTCTGAACAACTCACTGACTCAGAGTGCACCAAGCTCAGAGGAGTAGAATTAGAGGAAAGGTTCAGGAAAGAAATTAAAGAAGATCAACCCTGTGGAAAGAGGATAGGCAGCTGAGAAAGGCCATTAGAGACTTCCCTGGAGGAATGACCAGCAGGTAAGAACAGCCATCTTAGACCTCTCAGGGTCAAGGCAGAAGATACCCCATATTAGCATATGAGTGACCACACCAATATACCAGCGATCACCCCAAGGATCTACCTTCAGCACCTGATTTTATCAGTAATTTGGGTCGGCTAGGTGCAAACGGGCACATGTAACACCAATGAAACCCAAGCAGAGAGCCCACTGGTGCTCCAGGAGGGAAAGCTCTCTCCCTCCCTCAGTGAGTCACTAAATTGGTTTGGGTAGCTTAGCAGCACTGAGAGGTCTGCTCTTGACTTTATCACTAACATCAGGATGACAGATTACTAGCAGGCACTCTCTTGACACCAGTGAAGTTGAAAGCGAGCACATTTTTGGCGCTGCAGGTGGGTGGGCTAACAGACAAACTCCCCAGCCGATCGCGGCCTGGGCAGGTTGGGCTGGCACAGCAGGCAGTTGGGGCAGAGGGAGAAACATCTGCAGCCAATCACAGGCCCAGGAAGTTGCCTTGGGTCGGCTTTTTGGCACTGAGGGGCCTCGGGAGCATGTTTTTGTGTATGTCTGAGCCTGGAGGAAAGTAGCAGCACCCTAACAACTGGAATCTTTCCTGGGCTTGTAAATAACAGTACCACATCATCAGTAGCAGCTGGCTCAAAGCCATAGAAACTGACCCTAGCAACAGCAAGCTTTCCTTCTTCCACTCCCACCTTCTCTGCCAATAACTTCACTCATCCAAAAGAAGAAACCATATTCAGCCAACATAAAACCTCTCGGTTTAAACTCTAAACCCTCTTTACGACAAACAGAAACACATATCCACATTCCACACAGTGATTCCACTATCACAAAGAAAACTGCAGAGCAACTCAGCATACCTGAATCAATAATAAAATAAATCAGTTTCACCTTTTCAAAATATTAAACCATAAAACCAAATTGAAACAAATACATAACCAACAGTTAGACAACCTCAAAATGTCTAGGAAACAACAGGTAACCTCAAATCAAACAAAAAAACAGGACAAGGCATTAGAAGCAAAACCACAAACAAAGGTCTTATTATACATGGAGGAAGAAGAGGCAATAGAATTATCTGAGAAGAAATTTAGAAGATATGTTTATAGCTATACAAGAGCGTAAGGAAACCTCAAACAGAAACAAGGAGAACACAGACAGTTCCCTGGAGGAACACAGGAAAATCATTCAGGAACAGAATA